GGGTGGAGGTAGCACTCGGCGTCCTCCAGCAGCAGCCCCAGGCCCAGGCGCTGCTCCGCCAGCGCACTCAGCACCGGCTCCTCGGGAGATGGCGATGCGCAGCCACCCTCGGCCTCCGGCCCCCGCCACTTACTCCCCAGCTGCAAGCAGCCCGGCCATGGCTCCAGCGTGGGGGCCCTGTTCACGCCCTCCGGCGATCCAGGGGACTCGGGCCGGCTCTGGTGCCCAGCCAGGGGGGTGGAGCAGGAACCGGAGCTGGGCTGGGTGGGACGGCCGCAGCAGGCTGGCAGCAGCGGATCCGTCTCCTCCAGCTTGCGCAGCACCTCCAGAATCTGGGCCTTCTTCTTGAAGAACGGAGATAGCGCCTCCAGGGCCGGGGGGCCAGGGCCAGAACCGCCTCCCCAGGGCCCCTCACTGCCCACCTGGGGAGCAGGAGAGGAGCCGTGAGATGCCCGAGCCAGGAGCGGGACCCGGGGCGGTGCAGGGCCACATACCTCCCTGTGCAGGACACAGCGGCCGGGGGGCGGTGAGGCTGCGGGATTCTCCGCTGAGCAGCGCAGGGGGCTAGCAGGGGGGTTGGCTGGTGCTGGCACCGGCTGCAAGGCCAGCTGTGAACGAGAGCGACGGTGAGGGGTGCGCAGCTCCATGGGGGCTGAGCCTGTCCCCTGGGGTTGGGTGCCAGGGCAGCAGCCCCTGGCCAGGATGAGAGGTCTCCGGCACTGGCGGGAGCCCGAGGGTTGGCGAGGCCGTACCGGGGGCAGAGCGCCACCTGCCAGCTGCAGCTTCTGCTGGAAGAGGTCACTCAGTGTCTGGTTCTGCCGCTCCAGGTCAAAGACCCTCCTTTTCAGCTTGATGCATTCCTCGCGCAGGTCCTGGGGGGGCAGAGAGTAAGTGTGGCCCTGGGGGCCCCGGCAAAGACCCGTGGAAGCTGTCTCCTGAGCCCGGCCTGGCTGAGCCCCTTGCAGGGGGCAGTGCAGCCCAGCCCCTGGGGGCTGTCGGCAAGGGGGTCCCGGCTGCACCCGGGTCAGGACACCAGCTCCAGGAGAGGAGGCGAGTGCAGGGGACGGGGTCAGAGGTGGGTTCCCCGCTTTACCACGGCTTCCCACCACCACAACCCCGACCCCCGGGCTAGGGGCACGGCCTCACCTTCTGGTTGAGCAGGGCCTGCACCACGTGGTTGGCGACCTGCAAGAGAGACGGTGGCAGCGCAGCCTTGGGCAGCCACGACCCCCAGCCCGCCCGGGCCCGGGCCCGGCCCCGGCCCCCTACCTCGTCCAGGCAGCGCTCGTAGGTCTCCCGCTGGTTCTCATTGGCCTGGGCCAGGGCCGAGTTCTCCACCTGGGACGGAGCAGGACAGTCAGGGCTCCGCCTGCCAGAGCCCCCGGGGCCCGGCCCCCGCTCGGGGCACCTCGCAGGTCCGGACGGAGCGG